CCCCACCCCGCCGTTGCCGCTGCCATTAGCGCTGCCGCCGCCGCCGCCAGCAGCCATAACTTTTTTAAGAGCCCCTAACAAGACCTGGGGGAGCCAGAATGACCTCTCGTGTGTGATGGAATTTGCCCCTAGGACTCTAAGGCCACCACCCCAGAGCTCAGAGAGGCGCAGGAACATTTCGTGCCCCTCCCCCCACCCCGCCGTTGCCGCTGCCATTAGCGCTGCTGCCGCCGGCAACCATAACTTTTTAAAGAGCCCCGGGGGAGCCAGAATGACCCCACGAATTCATGGGGGCATGATTTTTGGAGTGCTGCCTATAGTCTAAGGCATAGTCTACTGTGTGATGTAGGTTTTATTTCATTCCAGCATAGAAATCATATGAATTCATGAGGATCTGTCCTTTGGAATCATGTTTTTGCGCTGCCCACGCCATGAATCTGTGGGTGCTTTTGTGGTGCCCCTTGTCAACTAACACATGGCCTACAATATGATGGTTTTATTTTGTTTCAGTGTAAAAATCATATGAATTCATGAGGATCCATTTAGATCCAACTTTTACCCAGAACCCTTATGCAGTAGTCAAATCGCTCACTCAGAACTTTAATGCCATTAGCTCACAAAGTAAAAATTTTGCTCACAAGACTCCACAGCTTAGAGGCGGCATTGGTTGCCCGGTCTAGGTTGGGAAATTCCTGGAGATTGGGGGGCGGGGGGAGCCTAGAAAGGCCAGGGCATGGGGAGAGGAGGAACCTCAGTGGGATATAATGCCATAAGACTCGACTCCACCTTCCAAAGCAGCCATTAAGGGAACTGATCTCTATAACCTGTAGATGACCAGTTGTAATTCTGGAAGATCTCCAGCCACCACCTGCCTAGATTCAGAAGGCAGCTGTGTTGGTCTTTGCTGGTGTTGGTCTTTGCTGGGGTATAACTTTTTGAGACTCAAAGCTGCCTTCCTCAGATACACAGACAACATGAACTCTGCAGAGGACTTCAATTTGACCGAATCGATCAGTTGATTTAAATCCTTTAGGTGAATAGTGCGGTCCAATTAACGAACAGCAGTTGTTGTTTTTAAAAAATGAATGCAAGTACCTAACCTCTTTAACAACAAACAAACAAAAATGCAGCCAGCTGGACACGCCGCTTTTCAAGGCATAGCGGCGAGCAACGCTCCGGAGGAGGTGCAGGAAGAGGAGTGGGCGTGGCCTGGAAGCGGCGGCTCCGCTTCCCTCCCGGGACTACACTTCCCGCCGGGCGTTGCGGGCCGGGGGTGGGTGTGGCGGGTCTGATTAGGAGCCTGTCTGAGGCGGAGGCTGGTGGGCAGCGGAGTTTCCTCTCAGCCGAGCACCCTCCATGTCCGCCGCCAGCTGTTGCCGACACCCCCCGTCGCAGGGGCAGACGCTGAGCAGGGACATCCCCGGCCTTGCCAAGCGGCTCAGCCTCCCCGATGGGGTCCCGCTCCCTCCCGGAGACTACAGCACCACGCCGGGCGGGACGGTCTTCGGGACGACGCCCGGGGGTGAGGCAGGGGCGCGAGGCAGGGTGGGTGCGGAGGGCCCCCGCGGTGCCAGAGGGCCTGCAAGCGCGTGCAGGGCGCGTGCAGAGCGCTGCGGAGGAAGAACTGCCCCCCTCCCCCGGGTCTTTGGGCACGTGCAGGTGTTGCCGAGTAAACCCCCACACACACGCACGCACCCCGCCTTGTGGTGTGCTTTCAGGATACGAAGCGTGCACTCTGAGCATGTGCAGAGTGCCGTTTGCCCTTTAAGCGCATGCAGGAATTTTTGCAGCTCTGCTGAGTAACAGCGAGTACCTCAGATATGGAGTCAGGAAGGTGCGAGGAGAGTGTGGATATTAATGAGGGGCGGAGATTGGGGTTAATTTGAGTAAGCGACTTGAATTTTATTTTTTTTCCCCCAGTGGTGTTGGTAGTGCATGCCGTTGAGCATGTGCAGAGTGCTGCCTTTTCTGAACATGTAGTCTGAGCTGTGAAATTACAGAGGAGGGTTTTGCCATGGCATTTCTCCTTTCTAGCTAGTAAATACTTGTTCTGTTGCTTGCACTTCTTAAGAGCAGGTGACCCATTGTTTGAACAGGCTGATTATGGGGCTCATTTGAGATAAGGCTAATACATGACGTCTGTTTTTATTTGAGATGTGCTTGGATGGCTTGAGATCAATTGTACTCCCCCCCCCCTTGCTGCAAACTAAATGCACCCTTTCCATAAATGGTGCTGATGCACACTGAAGTCCTGTGCATGCTTCAGGGTAATTCAGCTCTAAGTGGAGAGGGTTGATTCCTGGTTAGAGAACAGTGCTAGAGACAGACATGAGCCACAGCACCTCTTGTTTGTGTATAAAAAACACTTGAGTGCTACTGAGTTTATACGGCTAGGAGAACATTCCTGATTTGAGGGAGGGGGGAGGGTTGGTGGGATGAGGCCGCTCTGAAGCAGAGCGTAGCCCAAGAACCAGTTTTCTGACATCAGGAATCAACATGAAACATCTGAAACAATAACTCCATTGACAGTGTAGAGAACTCCCCCCGCCCCCCCCAATTCTGTGCTTTTAAAAAATCAGCTTCAGTACAGAAAGAAAGAACCAAAACAGCAGACCGCAGACAGGGCATGATCTGCTTGGTGGATACCCAAAAGCGGTCTTCAGTTTACAGGGAGAGGACGGAGATTGTGGAGTTGAGAGAGGAAAGCTGGGGATGACAGAGTGCGTGGGGTGCATGTAGAAGGATCTGGGCCGTGAGGGCAGGGGGTGATGCCTGGGATTGAAACATGAGTGCAGATTTTTGGGGCAGTTGATCAGGTATTGCAAAGTGCTTGCTTGTAGGGGCACTGAAGAGAATGATGTGCGCATCTTGTAGTTCTATTGGGACTTGGCGTGTGCTTTGCTGCTCTGATGAGATTGGCTCTAGCCTAGTAATACTTTTCCTTGCAGGAAATATGGTGGTAGTCTTGAAGGTGCTACAGAACTCAGTTTTTTGCTGCAAAAACTAGATGAGCACAGCAGAGCCCCGGGGATCATGGCAGAAATAGGCAGCCCCTTAATGCTAGAGAAGGATCTGGTACTGTAATCTGTCCCATGTGCTTGCTTGCAGTCTGAATCAAAATCAGTTTACTTGGAGCTGAGTCCCACAGAGAAATTCATGGTGCTTACTTCTAAGGAAGTTTGCTTAAAGTTTGCAGACATTCTCCGCCTTTTTGCTCTGGGGGTGGTAGAAAGATGGATTTCTCTGATTCTGCAGAATGCGTGTCTTCTGAAAAGCATGTGCCTTATTATAGCATCTTGCAATGGGATCTCTATGGGAAACTGGAGTCCGGGGAGATTAGCCCGCATCCAGAGCTGCTAGACCATCTGCTGATGGCTTTTCTGGAGGGGACAAAAGGGTATTAAGAAGTTAGTTAAGATGCTGAACTGCAGACCGGAAGGTCGATAGTTCAGCAGTTCGAGACCCGAGTGCCACATTACGGAGTGAGTTCCCGTCTCTGGTCCCAGCTCCTGCCAACCTAGCAGTTCGACAGCAAGAAATTGCAAGTAGATAAATAGGTACTGCTTTGGTGGGAAGGTAACACCATTCCGTGTGCCTTGGCGTTTAGTTATGCCAGCCGCATGACCATGGAAATGTCTTCGGGAAGCACTGGCTCTTCAGCTTGGAAACGGCAATGAGCACTGCACCCCTAGAGTCGGAATTGACTGGCTTTCGAGCAAGGGAAACCTTTAACCTTTATCTTTAATTCTGTCATCTGACAGGGCAGTGATTCTGAAGGTGGTGAGGGACTGCAGGAAGGGACTCTTGTGAGTGGTCATCCAATCAGACTTTCTCAGTATACAGCAGATTCATCCTAAACCAGAGAGATGAATGGCATCCCTTTCATTACCCCCTTCCCAGTCTGTTCAACTTCATACATTCTGTGTCCTGTAGCATTTATGGAAAATAAACTCTTGGAATAGAAATCAAGGAGAGCCTACTGAGTTGGACAGTGTTCAATTGTAAATATTTGTGTTGTATAACAATAATATTTGTTCATGGTTTATAGCTTAACTGTTCAACATTTAGTGTTCTTTTAGGACAAGGAAACAAGACCTGTGATGGTGTTCTTAGTAAGAGTGATGATACACAGCATTTGTATACTACTTTCATTGTTCAAAGCACTTCATCATGCATGTTATCTTCTTTTCATTTAAACAGTCTGTTGGGTGGGCCGTCGTTGTTATCCGCATATTGTGGATGACGGATCAAGGCTGAGAGAAAGGAGCTTGCCTACTCTACGGGAGAGGCAAAATTTGAACCTGGGACTTCCTGGGTCACCACTGCTTCCCTTTAACTATGATGCTACACTAGCTCCTTGTGAACCAAACAAGTCTATCTATTGGACTGGTGTGTCTGCAGTTTTTGATGTGCTTCTCAGTATTTCTACACAAGGAACAGAAGCTGGTCAATGTTAAAAGAAAGGTTTATTCTCTTGTCAACCAAAGTTTGTATTAAAAATTGTTTATCTCTCTCCGTTTTTAACTCCTGCTTGCACCAAGTCTAGAATGTGGGGCGAGCAGAGGTCATTTCGGGGGGGATCGCGGGGGATCGCAGTTCCCCCGGGTGAGGTACGGGGGGCGGGGCACATAACGAAGCCCCGCCCCCCGCTTCCGGCCCTCATTCAGCCAGGAG